GGCCGCCCTGACCCCGACCTCACATGGGTCTCGGAGGCTTCAGGGACCCACCGGGCCGCGCGCCCCCCACCATCCCAGGTCTACCGCAGGGGAATCCTCCAGGCTTGCGAGCGCTTCCTAGGGCAGGAAAGCTTGTGCTGCAGCCCCGCCGCCCTCTCCTGGCGCGTAGCCCCCTCCCTGAGCCTTCGGGCCACGCAGCCAGGCCCGCGATCCCAGGGCGGCCCATGGGGGTCGGCGCCGCCGGATCCCGCGCCGCGCCGAAGCCTGCAGCGCCCCGCGGTCGCCGTCTCTTGCACTGGTCAGGATGAATAGAGCCTGACAAAACCTGAGTTAATTGGCCGAGCGAATGTCCTTCGCGTCAGGAGAACACGCCCGGAGAAGCCGAGGGAAATGTGGAGCAGGAGCAGCCAAAGTTGCCCATCGGCTCTCGAGCAGGGTTTGCGCGTCGCGGTCGCAAAGCTCCGTGAGTGCAGGCACCGCGGCACAAGCGCTGCCCCGGAGCTCCAGGAGGCGGCGACGGGCTGGGCGTTCGCGATCCTGGAGAAACGACCGCGGGGCGTTGGGAGCATTTTGTTAAAAAGCCGGGAAGCTCAGGGCCGGTGTGGCCTTCGTTCTGGGCTGAGAACCCGAACTTTGGGCAGCTTCCTTTCCTTGCCTTTGGGAGTCCGTCTTCTTCAGCTCTGTGAGGCCCCGGCAGGTTCCTTTAGCGGGAGAAGTCAGTGGTCATGGCTGGATGAGATTGTGGTAAGTATTAGAGGGTTGTCAGCAACACTTTGCCACAGCGGAGCCTTCGATAGCTCAGTTGGTAGAGCGGAGGACTGTAGTGGATGGAACTGTGGTAATCCTTAGGTCGCTGGTTCGATTCCGGCTCGAAGGACTTCGTGTACCATTTTTAGCCTCAATTTAATCAAATTGTCTCATAAAGGGAAAGGCTTAGAGGCCTCCTGTGACTTAGCATGAGTACTGCTCTTAGACCAAAGGACGCACAGTAGTATGTAGTATACGGTAACGCTCTTTATGCGTTCAGTGTAAATGTGGTAACGTGTTTTAGAATAAGGTTTTCTGCTTAAGCACACAATTATATGCCTGACTTTTAGAATCTTGCATATGGATGATACTATGCTAAATAAATGTCCTGAACTGCGGTTGATCCGCTGGTCAGTGAACTGTGCAGTGAACCTGTAAGGCAAAGGGAAAGAAATTAGCAGCAGGCGGGGGATTAGCTCAAATGGTAGAGCGCTCGCTTAGCATGCGAGAGGTAGCGGGATCGATGCCCGCATCCTCCACTCCGCATTTTGCGTCCCTCACACTAGGGAACACAAAATGGAGGGATCCCCAGCGCAGTGGGCAAGGTGTTTCATTTTAGAGATACAAGACTGTTAAGCGATAAGGAGCTTCACACGATGTTTTTATTTCGCAGTTGAGTCCCAGTTTCTGCCACTTTATCTTTCCCGCCTCCTGGCAGGCAGGCCGTTAACCGTCTTCCTGGAAGACGCCGCTAGAATCCTCCGGCTGCGCCTGGCCGCCAGTCCCCAAACGACACTCGCTCAGGTACCCACTAACGTGCGAGGAACCCTGCGAGCTGACCAATGGTAGTGAGCTTTACTGGGCGGGTCGCCAGCTGCAGCCGCGGCCAATAGGCGAGAGACTTCTTGTTTCCTGGCAGAGCGGGGTCCCGGCACCGCGGCGCTCGGGTGTATTTGGGGGCCCGGGTGGAGGGCCCG